CTCCCTAAGCTGCATGCCCATAAGTAGTGGTAGCATCTGTTTGTGTGGTCACGCAGTGAAGCAGATCAAGGAACTGATCCAGCTGAAAAACAAAAATGGGGTAGGGGAAAAAGGTGGAAAGGTACCTGGACCAATTCATCAATCTAGCTTGCTACTAGGCCTTCAAATATTTGCATTCACATAACATATAGCATACCAGCAAACAAGGCAGATGGCTGTGTTGATTGAACAAACTTAAGCAGTGCTACCACCAAATGTTGAACCACAGCCTAATTCACGTTGCATCAAAAAGGATTCACAATACAAGTTTCTTAATACGAATCAGAATTCCTAAGTCTAAGTCATATCACGTATGCACTCCTTGCCTCATGCTGGTCATGGAACTCCTGCAGTATTGCTCTTTGAACTTAATAAGAGTGCATACCTTTACTAACTACTACAGGGTAAAGGAAAGAGGGAATGTGTTAACAAGACAAACGTTCAGGACTACAAGATGGATCCCAGCTCTATCCAGCTGATCAGTTAGGTCTAGAATTCAAGTCGTTAGCCAACTTCTAGATGTTTTTGCAGCACAAGACTCATGTCAAAGCATTTAAACAGATGTACACTCTGCAAACAGAGCTCTGATGAACGAAGTTATCTAGCAGCCCATTTCCAGCTGCATGCTCCTGCCTCTCCTCACAGAAGTTACTACATCATCAGATCTTCTGTGGAAGGTATGTTGCTCCCTGTTTCAGTTAAATAAATCAGAGTAACAAAGACCTACTATACGTACACTGATTAAGCAAACTTTCCTCTTTTTTAATGAAATTGGTTAGTAACAGCATTCACACAAGCAACTCTACCAGCACAGGTGAAGGAACCCCAGAAGATGTTTCCATTAGCACAACTGGACCCAGAAAAGAACATCTCTCCAACTCAAAATGCAGCTGAGCTATTTGTGTACTACTACAGTATAGTACTTTTTCAGCGTGCAATTAAATTCAAGAGCTCGTTCCCATCTTAGAAAACCAAATCTGCAATAGACTCCTCATGCCGGCACTTACGTCACCCAAGGCTCGCTCCAAGCACGATGTTAGTTTCATTAAGCCAAGAGCAACTTCTGTAGTTTGTGTATATTGTAGAACATCAAATACTTCAAGAAATAACTGTATAATCGGGGAGAGGAAGAATGTTGTGTTAAATACTCAGAAGGAAAAAACAAATTGTCAAAAGCACATAGAAACCTAAATATTCCTCTGTGATAGTCGCTATGCAAATGTAGAAAGAAAACCATGCCAGGGAGATAAAACTGTAGATGCCTGGAAAGAAACTGTCCTAGAGCACCTCTTGTATTTTCAGTTGCAATGCATCTAGTGCCTTAGATCTATAAAAATTATAAAAAATAACTTTACACAGTAAAACTTGATACTAAGCACAGATTATTAGAAAAACAAAACCCTTCTATCTTAGGTTAGAACAGGTCCAAAGCACCTCATCTTCTCTTTGTGATAACTTATACAAAATCTAATTACAAAGTCAGGAAAATTAGAAGGAACTACGTATCAGAGAAGGACAATTAGTTACAAATTCTAAGCATTTTGGTTCATTGGTATCTCTTGTGTGTTCTTACATTAAACTTCCACAAAGGGTTCATGTGCCAAAATACAAATTGTCAACAGACATTTCCATACCTCTGTGTAGTTTGTCCAGCGGAACCATAATGCATACTGAATTACAAATTGCTCCTTGGTCAGAGATTTGAAGTGCAAATTAACAGATTCACATACAGGTCCTAATGATCGTATGCTTTTGATATAATCCACACTTTGATCTTAAATTGAAAAACAGAAGGTGATTAGAGTACCAAACTTCCCAAAGGTCCAATATTTTAAAACTCACATGGAGTAAAACCTGCTACAGCTTGTGTACATATTTGGCACTGAGAATTTTATCCAGACTATTTTAGCATGACTAATACGCTACAATTTACTGTCCAAAAGACCACGCAGATAAGATATAGAAAAGTAAAAGTACAGTGTGAAACCAGGTAAGATTGAGTACCTTCTCCAAATAAAAAAAAACCCTTAATGCAAGAAAATATGAAGAGGATTATTATGTTCTGGTTTTGTTGAAATGGGAAGAACCTACTAGAGTACATAAATTCCACATAACCAAGCTGGAAGCTAGCGCAGGCTCAGAGGGCTCAGTCAAGCTGCACCACTTACACCCTTTAAAGAACGCAGAGGGATGTGGTACCTTACAGAGTGGTATCACTGCTCCTCTTTGGTGGGACACTTTTATAGGAAAATAAATTCTTCTGATTTACTGAAAGATATTGCTTGAGGCAGAAACACGTATCATTTTTACCATCTCTGGAAATTATTCACAGAGCTTGCATGACGCAATTTGGCAAATTAAAATGCAATGAGTTCATCAGGGCATAAATACTTCGTTTTGGTCAAAAAATAACTATAAACTGTTCTACATACAGAAGGGAAACCAAACAGTACTTCTGTACCAGCTAAAGTTGGAGAAACAAAACCAGAAGCAACAGTAGGAATACTGATGGCCCCAGAGTGTTTTAAATTTACTGCAAAAGGAATATAAAGAACACAGAAGAAAGCAATTATGAGGTAGGAGAGAAGCAGTACAGGCACATGAAGTTGGGAACCAAGACGAATGAGGCAGCAAAGAAGCAGCTACTTACGTAGCACAGATTACATGAATCTTAGGAGCCAGCAATAACCAAATACCAAACGTGGATGAAAAATTTAAAGCTCCTTGTAGATATGAACTGTACGTACTCTAATCTGCAGCATAGCTAATGCTGTACTGTAATAAAATGCTATAACTAAGCTAAGATTGCTATGAACTGTACTGAGATTCTGCATCAGTCTTAAATGTATCACTACTACAGCAGGTAAACACCAACCTGATTCGAGGTAACACACATGCTCTGTAACAGCTTGCCAACATACTTCACCATTTTCAGACAAAATATTATTAATATCATAGGTGTCTTTTTTCTCAAACCCAAGTTTGCAAATCACATAATGCACAGGTGGAGAAAGACAAGTAGTGACTGAGTCTGACAATGCCATCTAGAACACACACAAAAAAAAAAAGTCCTTGCATTAAGAAAGTACATGAGAACAAAGAAAATTATTATTAAAGCATACCCATAAGCACAATATACAGATAGTAATAAAGCATCTGTAAACAAGTTGTTAAGTTTCGCAATACAACTTTCATCTATGCATGTGATGAAAGGAACTCTCTGAGCAGAACCACCTGGTGGAAAACTGAGGGGAAGGAGGAGGGGAAGAATTGCTCTATTTGCATAATGCCAGGATGGTGTATTTCTGAATGGTTATAGCTACTAAACTGATGCCAAGACAGATTGAAGCAAAAGATCTCAGTTTACGTGTATGTTCTGCCTAATCTCCGAGCTTGCAGGGAAACTGATGCTGCTTTGGGTAAACCCAAGAGTTTTAGTCCTTATGACCAGCAGTATCATTGGCAGGGGCAGGGGGAACATGTGAATTCTGCACGAACTGGTGGTAATGGTAGAGCAACCTAAGCATAAATGTTGTTTGCATTAGTCTGAACAGAAAGACAGACTCTGATTCAGAAGCACACATTTAAATTAAAGAATTTGCAAAGATAAAACTGCTCACGCTAACAAGGAGGAATATACTTCTGATTTATTAAAAAAATCACATTTCCCAATTAATCAAACCAAAAGACAGACAAATAAATGTCTGAAAATGAAGGATCACAACAAATATAAAAATATTCCATTAAATTATATATTAAAAAAATCCTCTTTAATTAGGTGGTGGAATTGACCCTCGCAATACGTAATTTCTGAATTCATGGCTTCACAGAGAGACTACATATTTATACGGCAACAGCACAGAGCAAGGATGACAGTTTCCAAAATGAACTAGTGTTAGGTGCCATCAGGAGTATCCTACCCGCTATTAATAATCTCAAACGTTCATAAAACACGTAATTCAGCCCTTCACCTTATTTCGAGGCAGCCCACGTTTCACTGTCAGAGACAGGAGGCCAGAGCAAAACTTGAACTACCACAGCCACCCTTTATTGCCTAAAACAGACCAGAGAAGGAGCAGAGAGCTGACTTCTTCAGGGAGAGTACGTGACCCAGTCCCGGGTTTCCGCTGGTGCCAGCG